GCATTGGGGCCTTCCTTTTCCTCAGCCATTGCTGAACGTGGCACCATCTAAACAAATCAAACTAATCTCAAATGGGTAAAACCTCCCCAAAAACTTCTAAAAAATGGGGTGATCTGCAATTCAGAGGTCGGGTTCTGGGCCTGGCAGCAGTGCTCTCGTGAGGAGAACAGCATGAGGGAGTTCCTCACCTCGGGCATTTGTGTTTCCTCAGCTGCTGCTGAACGTGGTGCCATCCAAACTAATGAAACAAATCTGAAATGAGTAAACCTCCCCAAAATAACCCCCAAAAATGGGGTGATTTGCAAAGCAGATGTTGGGTTCTGGGGCTGGCAGCATCTCTTTCATGAGGAGAGTGGCACCAGGGAGTTCCTCACCTCAGGCATTCACATTTCCTCAGCCACTACTGCACGTGGGACAATCCAAATAAATCAAACAAATCTCAAATGGGTAAAACCCCCCCAAAACACCAAGAAATGGTGATCTGCAACCCAGGGATCAGGTTCTGGGCCTGGCAGCAGTGCTCTCGTGAGGAGAGCGGCACCAGGGAGCTCCTCACCTCAGGCATTTGTGTTTCCTCAGCTGCTGCTGAACGTGGGACAATCCAAACAAATCAAACAAATCTGAAATGAGTAAACCCCCACAAAAAAACAAAAAAAAAAAAAAGGGTGATTTGCAACCCAGGGGTTGGATTCTGGGTCTGGCAGTATCCCTCTCATGAGGAGAGTGGCACCAGGGAGTTCCTCACCTCAGGTGTTTGCATTTCCTCAGCCTCTGCTGAACATGGGACAATCCAAACAAATCAAACAAATATGAAATGGGTAAAACCCCCCCAAAACACCAAAAAATGGTGATCTGCAACCCAGAGGTTGAGTTCTGAGCCTGGCAGCACCACTCTCCTGAGGAGAGTGGCACCGGGGAGTTCCTCCCCTCAGGCATTCGCGTTTCCTCAGCTGCTGCTGAACATGGGACAATCCAAACAAATCAAACGAAATGCCACCATCCTGGGTAAAACCCTCCAAAAAATGGGGTGATCTGCAAMCCAGGGRTYGRGTTCTGGGCCTGGCAGCATCTCTTTCATGAGGAGAGTGGTACCGGGGAGTTCCTCCCCTCAGGCACTCGTGTTTCCTCAGACATTACTGCACGTGATGTGATCCAAACAAATCAAACAAATCCTAAATGGGTAAAACGCTACCAAAAACCTCTCAAAATGGGGTGATCTGTAACCTGTGTCTGGTATAGGCCATGTGAGATTGTTCAGGTGGATATCGAGGAAAAGGAAGAGCAGATCTCCAGGTCRTTTCTGGCCTGCCTCTCATCCTTGCTTGTGCAGTGTTATACCATAAAAAAACTCTCCAGGGTAAGTCCATATTTGCCTGAAGGGACAGGTAACTATTCCAAAAAGGTGTATCCTTCATACTGAAGTTATTTGTCCTGAAAGCCATCACCCAATGGTGCTGCATGGAGGAATTTCCCTCAATTTAGGGAGATTTAGGCAAGAAAGGGAGGCAGGTGTCAAGCTTTCCATCAGYGTAACCAGCAGGGGAATCTCTCTCACTCCTCACAGAACAATCACAAATTATTAGGGTTGGAAATAACCTTTAAGGTGATCAAGTCCAGCTATCCACCAGACCACCATGGTCACTCCCAGTAATGCCCCAAGGTGCCACATCTGCACATTTTGGGACTCTTCCAGGGATGGAGACTCCACTACTCTTCCTTTCCAGGAAGGAATTATTACAATTATCAAATCCAAACCTCCTCTGCTACCACTCGAGGCTGTTTTCTCCTATCCTGCCCCTTGACTGATCCCCACCTCGCTCCATTTTTTTTTTTTTCCAGAAAATTGTGGAGAGCAGATCACAGGACAAAAGAACTGGAGCTGATTAAAAAAAAATTGTGGAAGGCAAAGCCATTTAGGGAAAGGAAGGATTTGTGTCTGGAAGCAAATGAAACACCAGGCTCAAATGTGAAATGACATTTGGGGTCACCACACAAAATGGGAACAGGCTGTGAAATCCTCCCTGGTTATCCCARGAGGGTTTTTTAGGCACAGGTATTGGTGTGTCAGTCAGGGGAATAAGAAACTGGGGAAAGAGCTAAAGGGAAATTTGGGGATGAAGAGGGGAGTCTGCTTTTGCCCTTCAGAAATATTTGGCTCTAAACAGGTGATCCGACTACAGAGGAGGACCACAAGAAATGACAATTTTACRTCTTTAAGCTCTTTCTGTTCCAAATGTGTGGCAGAATCTTCAAATGGACAGAATGGAGTTTTAAGCCATTTAGTGGATAGCATAAAGCATAATTGTGTTTGTTGAAATTCAGTCCCTGTGCACACAGTGCTCGGTGGAGATGGGGATGGTGACCCCTGGAAAGGCTGTGTGAGTATTTCTTTTCACTGGAAACACAAAAAAAAAAGCAGATTTGGAGAAAGAAATGAAGGCAAAATGATAATGAGCTGCAGAGCCACTGTGTGCTTTTCCCTTACTCACAGCTGCAGGTGGGAATGGGAATACTCACACAGACCTTGCCCTCAAAACCAAAGCCTCTTCATTACACAGACTGCCTCTAAATCAATAAAATAAATAATTTAATAATAAAATAACAATAAAATATAATCAATAATAATAAAAAATGGTCAGATGTTAACCAACAGCGAAAAAAACCCACTGGAGACCCAAAACCCAAAGCATTTTTGGGCACTGGCGGTGTGGGCTTTGCGATGGACAGAGCAGGGTGATRTCCACTGAGTGTCCCCAGCTGCCCTGGAGTGACCACTCCGGCCAGTCCCTCCAGGCTGGTGTGCTCCAGAGGGAGCCACATCTGTCCTTGCTCCCCGCAGTGGAGGTCATCAGCCTCCCAGGCTTTCCAGGAAAGAGGGAGTGGCCGGAGAGGCTTGAGTTACAGAGCGGGGACCACCTGGGCGAGAGCGAGCAGCCAGCACTTGTCCCACCTCTAGGCACTCCCCAGGAAGGATGAAGGGATGCTGAATTGGCTCTGAGCTCCCTCCCAAGCTGGTTTTGGAGAAATGGAAGGGCAGGCAAGTAACGTGCATGTTCTGATATGGAATAAAGGGGCAGTGGCATTTCTGAATTTCTGTCTGCAGCTGATGTTGGTGCAGGTTTCAATATTTAGATGGTGAAGGATCTCAGTGTTTGTGTCTGTTTGGGGGTAGGGGACTGCTTTCAAAGTTCACACCTTGACCCAGGTTTTGACTGACTATAAATTTTAAGCATTTCTGGCTCTGACAGAGAAAAAAAAATATATAAGGGGGGGGATGGGAGAAAAATTTCTCCCTGCATTTGAGAAGAAGCATATTAATAATGCCATCACTATTCAGTGATGGGGAGGAAAAAATCCTGCTCTCTCAGAAGGCAAAGTTGGGAATTAGCTGCTTTTTATTTCAAGGAATCAGATTCRTGAAAACTATAGCTGTAAAACACAACAGCAGCCGGAACCCTCCACATAAAACCTCTTGTATTTTATGCCTCCTTTTCTATTTCAGGTCCTCATTTGCCTAATTACTTCTCAGAGGCTGGCAGAGATTTTCCCTGCAGCGCTGAGCTCTGCTGACTGCAGAGACCCTACCTGGCACACTCAGTCAGTGCATCAGCATTCTAGGTAGAAGTGAATGAAAAATCAATCAGGGCAACTGCAGTGGTAGCACATTCAACTCTAACCTACTTTGTGCGTGGTTTCAAATATTTCACTGTGTGTTTAGGYACCTTTTAAGATGGTAAGTGGATCTGAAGTAAAATTGATCTTCCTAGCCAGCCTAGTAAATGTTTTGTCATTTTTGCTGCTTAGCTCTCCAGCAAATTTGCCACCCTGACTGCTGAGTTAAACTGCAGGCTTGGTTGAAATGCCAAAACCTACCAGAAGATTGTTTTAATCTTGAAAACTTATCACCAGCAGATTGCATCATGCAGTGGATATAGRTACAGTGATAGAGCTCTGATTGCTTTAATTGTGTTTGCAGACCAGATCTGGAAAATTCAAACACTAGAATCTCTTTAGAAACACAGGTACTGCTTACATGTGGTCTTGCAAGGAGTTTGGCTTGGGAATATTTGTCTGTGCACTTTTTTTTATTTTTTTCTTGTTGCATCTCTGCACAGGCAGAGTTAAATATGGATTGCAAGTTTCATTTAGTTAAAGTCCACAATAAAATGCTCCCATACTCATGCCTAAAAAATTAGCAGCTGTTGTGACTTTCTTTCAGCTGAGTGGGTTCAATGCATTTAAAAAAACCCTCATCAGATCACTGCTCTAACAAGTTGTGCAGTGCCACACTGTAAAGGCTTCCAAAAATTCACAATCCTCTTCGTGTGTGCTGCCCTTACAGTGAAGAAGATTCTTTTGGCTGTAAAGATGAAGAGTCTACTTTTTCTGGTGCTGATCTCTGTCTGCTGGGCTCAACCTCACCCTGGCAACTCAAGCCTGGAGCATGAAAGGATTGTTCACATTCAAGGTAAGGAAATAAGTGAGAAAATACCCGTATTTTCATGCTGCTGAGGGAAACAGGACAATGTGTTTAATGAGCCTTAATTTTGGTGGTTTTTTTTGGTTTTCTTTTTATAGGCTGTCACTCTGTTTTTAAAGTACTTGTATCACTGGTGACCAAACATTTTCTTTTCTGGTTCTGTTGTGTTATTATTTCTCCTAAGGAGAGTTAAAAAAGATGAAAGTTGTACTGTTTGATGGCACTTAGTCACAACCTTGCAAAGGTTTGTGAGTAAAGTAGAGCATGATTTAAGACAAAGGGAAAAAAGCATGCATCCTAAAGAAATAAACAACTGCAGTRGGTTGAAATACCTCAGTTTATTGTGGAATGGATTTGATTTTAAGAGCTCTGCCATGCATAGTTCTCCACAGCACAGAAATTTATTGTTATGCATTATTTTTAAAAGGTTCAGCACATTAGAGATAGTAATTGGGCAATTTAAATCAGAAAAAAAAATAAAAAAAAAAAAGGAAAAAAGTTACTTACCCCAAAAGAAATGTGCCTTTCCTCACACCTTTAATTCACACTAAAAATATTATCCTGGCCTTCTGCATAATCCTGTTTGGCTGGTGTTTGGGTCCCAGAGATTCTGGCTGTGGCAGGGTTGGAGTCTGCAGYACAATGCAGCTGTTTTTTCAGTCCCAGCTTCAGTTGTCGAGGGTTATCCTGCACAAGAGAAATCAGGGGGTTTATGCAGTGAGGACAGGCAGAACGAGCAGGGATTTTCCTGCTTTCACTCCTGCCTTCCTTGAGCCTGGCTGAAATCGATTCTGAAAAATTAAGAAATGCAGAATTTCTGTGTCCCCTTCTCTCTCTATCACTCTCTCTGTTTAAAGTTTGATTTCTTTCTCTCAACAGCCGGCAAATTGAGCTATTTGAGTGTTTGTGTAAATATGAATTACCAGGCTAGAGCAGGTTTCCAGGGAAGGCTGAACGTTTGGGAGTTCACAGGAAAGTCACAGGAGTTAAAGGCATCCTGCACCTATTAAAACATGGAATTTCAAGGTCAGACAAGGAGTAAGAGGAGCTGCTCTCCCTCTGAGGARACTCGCAGGATGAAGGTCAGATGAAAGTGTTTTATCAAAATGAAGAGCTATCACTGCTCTGAGGTGATGAACATGTGTTCCCCAGGGCAAATTTCAAATCAGACATCTATGTCCAATAAACAAATATTTTGCCTTTCCTTYTATAATGCAGCTCTTTTTATCTCTAAGTTTCACCTTTTTTTTGAAAATTAAATCAGTGGAATAGCCAGCATTTCAGTGTAATTCACAAGTCATACACACCAYTTATTATTAACCCAATTAATAGTTAGGGTTAATAACCAGTTCAAAGCTGACAGGAATTTCAAGGTGAACCATTCTCCCTCCCCATGAAAATCCACTTGTACCTCCAGAGTTTATTCCTTCAAGGAAACCTGGGTAAAGGTTTAAATTTGGTCCAGGCTCTGAAATGCACAGGCAGACCACAAATCAAGGAGATTCCAACTACTTGGGGCTCGGCATTTTTGCTTCTGGTTTTTGCCATTCCTATCTGCACTGTGGAATATCATCAGTGCTGGTATCCCTTTCTTGCTGATGCTATAAACACACAGAAATCTCCACACCTGAAAAGGGGATGGAGATCAGGGAAAAGCTTCATACAAAGGGTGTTTTTTTTTGGGTTTTTTTTTACCACACCAACAAACCCAGCATCCCTYTCCACAGCTGGAATCCAGGAGATGTGCAGCTAAACTCATCCYGGGTCACATGCCTGGGAATGCCCTGGAATTAAAAAAGATGTGTGAGTGTTTTGTGTTTAAGTCTTTGCACAGAGGTGGAAGGGGTTTCCTGGGGCAGTGGAGGGAGCTCCGTTATATTCCCCCATTCCTTATATTCTGTAATCTCCTGTAGGCTGGGTTTAATTTCTTTAAAAGCAGATCTCCTGACTGCTGAAGGGTTCTGCACCCTCTTTTTCTGACATGGAAAACACCACTTTAATTCTCCATGTTTATTTTATGGCCTTATTCTTCTCCTGCTGTTGTTCTTTGGCTTCAAATAACGTTTTTTCTTCTTTGAGGTTCGCTTTAAAGCATTAATCAGATAACACCATATCCCCCCAGCTGTCATTTGAGTGTACTTTTTCAAATCCCTCTCTAMGTGTATAACCTCCTGATTACTGTACTAATTGGATATTGTAACCTGATCATGTCAGGAATTCATCTTTGCACTGGTTCTCATTCGGATTTTTACTCTTTCAGTGCACCCAGCCAGGACTTTATTCCAGATGAAATCCCCATTTGGCCTTTTAGTATTTCTGTTTCCCAGTGAACAATGCTTTGTTCTTCAGACCCTGGATAAAATTTTCTGTCCCCAGCTGTGCTGCAGTSCTGATCAATAGTCTGTGGTGACAGACAGTATTTAGCAGCCAATCTCCCTCACTGYCCCTTGAAATTAGAAAGTGAAAGGTTTATATCAATAACTCTCCCTACKAGACCTTAAAAAGCTGGGTGGTGCATTCAGTATTAAATGTTATCCTGCCTTTTCCAGACTTCTTTCTTCCGACATTCTAAAAATCCACTCTTCTCCCTTCAGTTTTGCTCAATCAAGCCACGCGAAAATTTTATTACTTCAAAAGTCACAGGTACTTTACAAGGTAAAATTAGTGGAAATAGAGAAATTATGCTGATGGTGGTACACTGGCATTTTTCATACACTTTTCCATATCACCCAATTCCCTAAGCTCCGAGCAAATGATACATCACTTTCCTCAACCTTATAATTTTTTTTTTTTTTTTAATTATACACCTGATTTCAGATTACTCTGACTTTCTTTGGTCAGTATCTACTTCATCTTATCCCTCTTTCCAGTCCTTAYTCTATTCCTGTTTTTCAACATTTTTGCTTCAGAATTTGTTCTAAAGTCCTGTTTGCTGCTGAGGTCAGATTAATTAGCTGATTGATGGTTTAATTACTGTCCTTACACTAATTTGTTATTTTGCTGCTGTCCAGGAACCCGTGGCACTGTCCTAAAGTGACCGGTGAGGTCACACCTCTGCCACCAGATTTGCCACACCCAGCACCCCTGGGTCTGGGTACCCCAATTTTCTGCCCTTCCATCGGTGTAAAATCTCCTGCCACCTCTCTCAAACCCAGTATTTGTCAACCAGGAGGAGCAATATTTCATAAATTTTATCATTCTACAGTTATAATTAGCTTTTATGGGCACTGGTTGTCAAATGTGCATTCTCTGGACAACAATTTTCTTTGTTTTTACCAAACACTTTGCCAGCCTCTAACACTCAATAGATATAGCTATGTTTTCTTTTAAATATTTCMATTTTTCCCAGATGTGCTGGTTTCACCAACAGCTCTGTTCCTGTTGACAGTGTCAGTTTATCTCCTGGTCCTCTCCTTGTTGGTTAACACAGTCAATTTTTAACTTGAGTACAATTTCTCATCTTCAACAACAGTTTTATCTCCCTATCTTTCACAGTATTTTCAAATTATTTCCTCTGGCCCAATTGCTTTCCTAATATATTTTTTCCCTCTTTGGTTTTATTCCATAATCAATGCCAAAAACTATAAAAAAATCAAGTTTTTTATCTCTTCTCTGACTTTATTTTCTTTGCTGAAGCCTGKGGTGGAWTTCATGGTTTTGGTCAGGCTCCTTTGTTATTCCAGGCTGTGTGACCCTACCCCCTTCTCCTCATGGTTTGTCTGCATACAGAACTCATTCCAGTTTCACTTTTGGGTACCAAAAAAAATAGAGAGAAAACTGTATTTTAACAAGATGTTATCCCCCACCCCAGAAAAACCCTATGTGCCCAAGGGGGTACCAGTTTCACTCTTCAGGAAAAGCCACAATCATAAATTAATTAACACATGTCTCCAGTTTGTTCAGTTTGTAGAAATACACAAAAAGRCAGCAATGAGARCAAAAAGTTTGGTTTGTGGAGGATMAAWTTTCACATTTTAGCTTTCCTCTGMATGTAAGAAATTTATATTGTGCAGCATTTCCTTGAGTTTGAGATGCAAGAATGTGCCCCCTTTGCCTGTCAAGATCTCTGCACAGATTTATTTATACACTTAATATACATAGAAATATTTCAAAGTGGAATGAACAGAAAAGTTTTTAACATTGCCCAATTCAAACAAACAAACAAAACAAAAAAAAACCCCTAAGCACACACAAATAAGTTAAATCATTTAATCAATAACAAAAGCAGAGGAAATCTTTGATCACCTCGTTTTCCAGTATAATGAGTTTTATTTAGAGTCCAGTTCTTTTCCTCCAAAACAAACCAGCACCAATAGTGAGCAAGAACCTGCACAGAGTTCCTGGAGCAGCCCAAAACATTATCAGAGATTGAATGTGCTGCTCATTTTCCCACTTACACTAATTTGTATCTTCTCAGGATAATTTTATCATGATTGTCTTCATGCTTTTCCACTTTAATTTTTACTTCTTTCCTTTTTCCCACCTTTCTGAATTTTTTCATTTTCCATCATGCTGCATGTTATTTCTTTCCAATTTTTTTGCCTTTGTGTTTTCTGCTTCACATTTGGGGTTTTATCCTTGTTTTGCCATTCAGGAAAATTTTGATGATGCCATGATACATTTGGCTGTTCCTTGTTGTAATTATGATGTTTCTTTGCTTTCCACACAACAAAGTTTCCTCTTTAGATCCGTGGGTTGTTGCAAGAGAGGGGACAGAAACGTCAGCAGGGAGTAGCATCCCCACTTCCTGACGGATGCTGCTTTCATTAAAGGCATCCTGGGCTAAATTTTCTGCAGCAGACATCAAGTGATAGGTGCCAGGATATTTGGGTTGCAAAAAAAAAAAAGAAAATTTTTCCAGTGGGCAGCACAAAGATTCCCATGAAACACAAATTTAAATCATTAATTTGCATTTGCTAGTTGCATCTGTCAAATTCAATATTTATATGTAGCATTTAGGAGTGATTAAGGGGACTGGAAGAGCTCCT